TATATATATATATATATATAAACTAATTTCTTTCTCATGGTAATCATTTTTGGAGAGATCTCCAAATTTGGAGAAATTTACACTCTCTGCTATTTTCTCCATGTTGGATAAAGTTTTGGATAATCTGTTGGAGCAAAAAAATTGTCTAAAATCCTTATTTTCTTCATTTTGGAGAATTTGTTGGAGATGCTTTAAGTTAACTTATTTTTTGAGTACACGTTTGGATGAACATAAACTAACTTATAATCTAGTTTATTGACAAAAATACTTGGAATAGGTTTTTAGGAGTTTTTTCCAATTATAATCGTGATTAATACTAATTGTTATTAATTACTATTAGTTACAAATAAATATTAATAAAAATTAATTATTACTAATATTATTAGATATCGGTAATAATCAATAGTAATTAATAGAGCTTTAATAAGTTGTACCTACGCACAATTTACTTGTAATCTTGAGTTTTAAGTAATATGCATTAATAAACAGTACTTTACGCATAAAAAATAGTTTTTAAGAGTTTTTGTCAAATGATTTATAATATATAATATATATTTTTTATATATAATTTAATTTAAGTTTAATAATAAAACAATTTATTTTTGGTTCAAACATCCCCAAATGTGACGAGTGTGTGAGTTTTTTTTGTTCTATTTGTCATATATAAATTTTATATACTTCAAAAAAACATTATGTCATATTTTAAGGCATTGTTTGGTAAATATAAGTTGTTAAGAGCGTCTCCAACAAGTTTCTTAAATTTTCTTTAAAATGGAAAAATAAAAGTCAAAATCTCCAAAAACGATTATGTTCATCCTCAACACATTCTCCATTTTAGAGAATCCAACATTTATTATAATATTAAAATATTTCATTTTTCTATTAAAATATTATTTATCTCTCAAAATATTTATTTTCAAATTATTTTGTTGGTGGTCTCATTTGATAATCATTTTTTAGATGTTCTCTATATTTGAAGAAAAGACCATTCTCTCACCTACTTTCTCCATCTTGGAGAAGTTGTTGGAGAAAAAATATTAGGTTAAAATCTTTATTTTCTCTATTTTTTGGAGAAACTGTTGGAGATGCTCTTTTATAAGAGCATCTCCAACATATATAAGAGTATCTGTAACAAATTCTCTAAAAGATTTTCAAAATGGAGAACCAAAGTTCAAAATCTCTAATAGAAATTTTGTTCAAGGTTAACTATAGGTGAAATATATATATATATATATATATATATATATATATATATATAAAGAGAGAGAGAGAGGTTGGTTATTATACAACCCTTTATATTTGTACAACCAATACAACTCAATCTCAACCGT